CGTCCGGCAGGGGCTTCCGCTCCCCTCCACGTTCCCCCAGCCTAGAGCTTTTTTTTTCTCCTTCCCGCTAGGGAAGTCCAGCATCAGAGTCAACAGACTGTCCTCTGCGCGCAGTTTGCGCGAGTCCCACAGACTGTCCTCTGCGCACAGTTTGCGCGAGTCCTACAGACTGTCCTCTGCGCGAGTCCTACAGACTGTCCTCTGCGCGCAGTTTGCGAGAGTCCCGGGGGCCCGGCCTTTCGCCGCTCTTCCCGGACTCCACCTCACAGCCCCGTCTCCCTCTGCCTGAGCCTGGGTCCCCAGGGATTGGCCCAGAACTGGGGTTCGGAGCAGTCCGGACTGAGGCTCAGCGCCGCCGGAGGCCTTGTTTCTTCCGGCTAGGGCAACCCAGCATCAGAGTCAACATTCAGTCCTCTGCGCACATTGCGCGCGACTCCCGGGGCCCTGCCTTTCGCCGTTTTTCCGCCTCACGGCCCCGTCTCCTGCCGGAGCCTGGGTCCCCAGGGTCTGGCCCATAACTGGGGCTCAGCGCTGCCGGTTCGGGGGGGCTCAGCGCTGTCGGTTCGGGGGTTCAGCCCAGGCTGGGGGTTTTATTTCCTTCCTGCTAGGGAAGGAAAGGCGGCTCCCCGCCCTCTCCTCCTCTCCGGCTGCGACCTCTCTGTGCGCGCGTGCGGGCGGGCAGGCGCGCGCAGCATGTCTCCGTACCTTGGGCTTTTTTTTCAGCTCCTCTGATTTTCTTTCTGGTTTTCTCTTTCCTTCTTGTTGTAGAAATTTCAGTCAGTCGACTACCTGTAGCTCTGGGCAATGTCCACTCTACATTTTAGTTGTATTCCATTGAAATTGTTGTGTGCTGCCGCGGCTAGATGTCTACCCGAGCAGCCATCTTGGATCCTCCCTAAACTTAAGTTTTTATACTGAAGAGGTATTCCATAGGTTTACTAGAAAGAGCATTAAGGATAACTTTGAATAATCTTGCCTAATGTTAGCAGTTTGACTAAGTGTTTGAAGAACTTAACCTAATCAAGGATTTGAATGTATAGTCTGGTAGTAAAGGGTAGTTGTCCTTTTTAAAGCTTTAACCTTGTTTTCAGGTTGACCCTTGTAAGTAATTGTCATCTCCATTTAATGAAGAGAAGAAACAGATTATGATGTAAATTTGGTAAGGCCATCAAGCCTAATGATCTATTGAGCAGAGTAAAAATCTGAACTCTGCCTCTATTTAGAACCTTAGCTGTTGCCTATTTGTGTACTTTTCACCAAAGTGTACTGTTTTTTAATTTGAAGAACTATATTTTAATTAAACAATAATCTGATTTTTTTTTTTTTTAAGTCAGGCATGAACATTTAAAACTGCACGAAGTTTAGATTAGGGCTTTTAAAGAACCAGTTTTCTCTGGGGAATTTTTTTATTGTAGATGGTTCTGACTTCAGACATGGATTTTATGAACAAGTTGTAAATTGGGTGAGAGAAATTGGGGTATAATTTCATACTGGCAGCCTTCAAAATCTTAACTTTTATATCTACATTAGAGGCCCTCTGCACAAAATTTGTATACTTGCGGGGAGGAGACTCCCTATGCCCTCTCGCAGTCCGGGAGCCCTCCGGGACGTAGCACAGCTGACGTTCTAGGCAGTGCTAATCCCACAGTCAGACATCCTTAGCACTGCTGCTGCGCTTGCCAGCCATGAGCCCAGCTTCTGGCTAAGTGGCACTCCCCATGTGGGAGCACACTCACCACCAGGGGGCAGCTCCTGCCTTGATCTGCCGCCTGGTGGTCAGTGTGCCATCTGCCCCCTGGTGGTCATTCCCCTGTTCAGTCAATTTTGCATATTGGCCTTTTATTATATAGGATGGGGCCTTTAGACCTAGAATCTGGTAGGAGATTCCTAACAAGCTTGAATCCCTGGTGTATTAACAGGAGTGACTGCTTATTTGCAGCCTTCCTCTTGGTAGTAATCACCAATTGATATACGTGTAAATGAAATAATAAATATTTTAACTAGTGTATTTCTAATATTGCTATTTGCATTAGTTTACAAGGGCTGCTGCAACAAAATATTACACATTTACTTTCTCAGTTCTGGAGGCTAGAAAGATGGTGAACAGAAAGATGCAGGCAGGTTGGTTTCCTCAGACCTCTCTTCTTGGATTATAGATGACCACAGCTCTTGCTGTCTGTTCATTTTGTTTTTTGTACTGTATTGCTCTGGTGTTCTCTGTAAGTCCAAACTTCCTCTTCTTAGAAAGACACAGGAGATTGGAATAGGGCCCCACCCCTAACAGTGCTCTTTAAGTTAGTCACCTCTTTAAAGATCGTATCTCCAAATATGATTCAATTCTGACGTGTACACGAATTTGGAGGGGGTGGGACATGGTTCAACCCATAACATTTATACAGGGAAAGAAAGATGGATGAAATCAGATGGCACAAAGCACGGTGAAAAGAAAATGAATAGGGTGGAGCTTTTGAAACTCACTTTCCCTTACACATGTAGAAGTGTGGGATTTCTTTTTCCTTCCACACTCCTGGGTTCTGTGACTGGGGACCTGTCTGTCAGACTGACAGCAGACAGTGCACAAGAGAAAACAGAAGCTCATTAGCATGTGCTCACATTTGGGAGTGTCCAGAGATGAGTAAGTCAAGAGATGGTTAGAATGTTGATATATATTAATAGGGGAAAGAGAGAAAGGGATAAAGGAACTTAATGAAAAATTAAATGACTGTTTTTGAAAGACAGGTAAAAGGCCTGCAGGAGAATTGATGGGAGAAATGATAGTTTGTGGCAATATTTGAGTGATTGTGGATTGTTTTTGTCTCCCAGAGAGAAGTTTGGAGTTGCTCCATTGTAGGGGATTGATAAATAGTTTTGGGAGGCTCTGCTTTAGGTAGATGGGGGATTTTGGGAACTCAAATGCCTTCAGCTCAAAACTATTCTTTTGTCAAAATGGTATATTTTGGGTTGGCACATCCTGATGCCATCATGTGAACTAGTATTTGCTCTTTACTTTTTTCAGAACATGAAAACACTTCTGCCATTAGCTAGTCATACTTTATTTAAGAGCTGGATTTAAATTACAGTTCATTGAAGACATTGCAGAAATGCGTAGGTAATGTTGATGGTTGTCTCTTAGGGATAGTATTCAGTATACAATTTCTCACTTAACCATCATTTTGGATGAGACCCTGTTTAATGATAAATTTTAAATTATTGGTTCATTTAAGTTTGCTGGAGTTTCATGTGAATTGTCATTTGGTACAAGTTATAAAAAATTTTCATTCCTTTTGAGTTATTAGGATTATAATCTTAAGAGTTTCAACAACAAAAAGTTGTTGGGAAAGTAACACTGTATCACAAAGCAGCTTAGTGTTTAGCTTCTTGTCAAAATTCTATATGATAAAAGGCTAATGAGCAAATAGACTGAATGGCGGAACAACTGGTCACTAGGACCTGACCACCAGTGGGGTTTTTGGAACATGATGGGTGTTAGCAGTGATGGGATGGTGGACCAGGTGAGCAGGGGCACCAGACAAAGGCGGGGCGTTGGTTGCTGTCATTGGGTGAGCCTCTGGTGGTAACTGGAAATTCTTTGCCCCATGTGTTGCAGTCCCAGCCAGTGCTCACACCTGCTACTGGTGCAAGCCCTGATCATACCAATTGCCAGTGCCAGAGCCGCTGCTTGCACCTGAGGGGCGATTGTGGCAGCAGCTGTGACAGAACCCACTGACGGTGCTGGTCCCGTTTGCACCTGGGACCCAGGCCGTTTGGTGCCAGTGCGTGTGCAAGTGGCCTCCTTGGCCACTCAGCAGCTGCGTATGCAAACTAACCTGCCATCTTTGTGGATTAATCTGAATACTCAGTCCTGATTGGCTGGTGTGCATAGCAAAGTGACAGTTTGCATCTTTCTCTTCTATTAGTATAGATACCTATCGTGATGATTATGATAAAAATAACCTCTTAATTATGAAAAATTTCAACCATGTAAGTAGAGAGGAGGATTTATACCACTCCTAGTACCAATATTTATAAACATTGACAACCTTATTTCAACTATAAAACTATTCATCATTTCTTGGTTTATTTGAAAGCAATCCCAGTTATATCAATTTTAATTGTAAAAACTTTTGTACATCTTTTTTTATACTATAATTCCACTAACCATTATGACATCTAAAATGATTAATAATTTTTTAAATGTCATTTAATATTCAGTTCATGTTCAAGTGTTTTATTATTTTATAATTTTTACTTTTTAAGGGTTGGTTTGTTAAGGATATATATATATATATATATATATATATATATATATATATATGGCCCCACACATTGTATTTGATTGATCTGCCTATTCAGAACCATTTATTTGTTGAAGATCATTTGACCTGTAGAACATCATGTGATCTGGATTTGTCAGAGTGTTCCTTCAGTTGTCCTTTCACTTGTTTATCTAGGTTGAATTTTCTGCAGATTGGTAGTTAGATCAGATTCCTATTCCCAACTGGGGTGGGGCAAGAGTACATCATAGATGGTGTTATGTGCATCCTATTGTGTGATGTCAGGAGACATTGAATGTATAGTCTGTGATAAGGCCATTTTCATTTTTAAAAAATAAGCTTTATTGAGATAATACTTTTTACAAAAAAATTAGCCATTTTAAGTGTACAATTTGATGAGTTTTGACAAATGTACATTTATGTAACCATCACCACAATCCTAGATAATACCCTATTACCTCAGAAATTCCCTCTCTCCCTGTGCACTAACCCCTCTCCCTAAGGCCCTTCCCCCATCCCATTGGTGTAGCTTCTATCACTTGCCTTTCCTAGAATCCCATAATAAGTGGAGCTTTGAAGTAGTAAGATCATTGTAATTTAAAGAGACACAATAAGAAGGTCATTTGGCCAGGAGCTGCAGGTCTAATTCCTTCCGTTTTTATGTGACAGGGACTTGCCATGAGGTGTTGAAGCCTTGTTTCATTGAGTCGGAGAGACTGGACCTAAATGGCGCAGCATGACTTTGCTCCAGCCTGGCTTAATTTTCCCACTCCACCATCATCAACAAAGGTATTCTTTCTTGCATCTTTCTCTCTTTTCTTTCTGTCTCTTTTGTTCACATTCTGCACAAGTGTAGTTAAAACGTGAAGGCTTAATATTTTTGCTGATAAATACTTTTTGTATTAACATTTAAGTTAGTTTTTATTTAATCTATTGGTTTCCATTATTTAAAAAGTGAATTTTCAATATAACATCATCATATGAAACCATTTACTTCAAGGTTGTCTTTTGTACTAATCAAAATTTCATACACTATTTCAAACCAGTTAATATATTGAATATTACTTTTGCATCCTACCTTTTTCTATATTGTTTTTCTGATAAATTGCCTTACTTACTTTGAGATAGGTAATGTTTGTTGTTTTCTTTTTAAGTGGAGGTTTTTGAAGTCTTTCTATAAAACTGAAAGACTTATTTTTTATATCAGTGAGACTTTGAATGGCACATAGCTAAAATTTCAGGAGTGTTGAGGAGTTTGCAATATTGTTAAATATCAGGACTCACTAATCTAGAACTGTTCATTTTACTAAAATACCATTAACGGCATAGTTTGTATGAGGGACTTTGGAATTGTTAGAGGCAATCTAGTTGGTTTAATAGCTGTCTTCCACTTCTTTCCTTAATTTGAAGAAATCAAGAGAGAGTCTTGATCATCTGCTGCCTATTAATAAAGTTCTACCAGATTTTATGAACAGTATTAAAACAGCTCTTCTCTTATGAGAACAATTTTATGAGGACTTGTTAGATCATAATAAATTTGGCCTATGATATGTTGAAAAAGCTGCATGGGCTGACAGAATTCCTAGGCAATAGCATTTTAATGTTTGACACTGGATCTTAGTAATCATAGAAACTGACCCTTTTTATACGGGCTGGCTCATTGTTGTCATGAGCTGGTATGAGCCAGGAGGCGTTTCCTGTACTCTTTCCATAGGACTCACTTTTGGCGTTCTGTAAAATGATGGGACATTCCATTTCATAGACTGTGAAGTGGGATTTGAACTTGTTGGGAGTAGGGACTACTACTGAGGAAGCCACTGGATCACCTCTTAGTGACAGACTGCTTAGTCCTTTCCCTCTGATGGGTTGGTGTCTGGAATTGCTGTTTAATTTTCCCTCAGCTGCCGAGACCGGTTTGGCTCATGGATAGAGCGTCGGCTTGGGGACTGAAAGGTCCCGGGTTCGATTCCGGTCAAGGGCATGTACCTTGGTTGCGGGCATATCCCCAGTAGGGGGTGTGCAAGAGGCAGCTGATCGATGACTCTCTCTCATCGATGTTTCTAACTCTCTATCTCTCTCCCTTCCTCTCTGTACAAAATCAATAAAATATATTTAATTTTCCCTCAACTGCTCTCTCCTCTTCCCTTTAGTGGGCTCTTTTCCCCAGCTCACTTCAGAGCTTGGATACATGGACTTTCTGCTTCCCTCTTCTCTCTTTTATTCATGCTCTCTGAAATGAGTATATGAGACTTGTTTTTATTTGTAAGCAGATCAAGAAAATTACCAGCACCTGAAAAGTTAGTTGCAAAACATGAACACGTTTGAGAATAATACTTAATTCAAATGTTAATCTGCGGTTGACACAGCCTTACTTTTATGTCTGGTGAAATCCTGCATTCTAGAACCGGACTCTTGATCTGGATGTAGGCCCTCATAAAAAACAGTGGTGATGACTTTTGAGAATTGGGATTTCCTATTCTAAAATTTCACTCACTTATTCTAAATTGCCTCCAGGAAATAGTATCAATTACAACTCTTAACTAGTAGTATTTGAAACTAGTTCCTTATACTTTACCCAAAGTAGTTTTGATAAATATAAACACACACCTTCTAGTAATAACTTTTTATATTACCTTGTTTCCCCGAAAATAAGACAGTGTCTTAAATTATTTTTTTCTCCCAAAGTTGCGCTAGGTCTTATTTTCAGAGGATGTCTTATCTTTCATGCGCTAGGTCTTATTTTCCGAGGATGTCTTATTTTTGGGGAAACACAGTGCCTTCTGTCTTATCCTTTCATCTCAGAATCACTATTTATGGCCTCTCATTTATAATTAACCTGCTGTTTTCTACAGAGCCCCTTTAAATCTTATGCTATATAAGTGGAATAAATAATAATTACTGCTGGGTTCTCTGCTTAAACTCAGTGTAGGTCTTTCATTTATTGGTTTGAAGGATGATACGAGGACTTAAGGGTAAAAATATTTTCAGAACTTCAGTAGTTTTCTGAGGTGTGTAGAATTTTAGCCCCATCATGTGGTGAGATTTTAAACTACATTGATCATATCTGGCATAGGGCATTGCCTTTTGAAGTGTTTATTGGAACCCAGTCAAAAGTAAATTTCACAATGTTTTTGTATACATGTAGGTATCACTAAAAAGCATACACCTGTGGTACACCAATATTTTCTTTTAAAAAATTTTTTTTTTTTTTTTTTTTTTTTTTAAGAGAAAGGGAGAAGGCTAGGGAGATAGAAACATAGATGAGAGAAACATAATTGATCAGATTGCCTCCAGCAGTGTCCCTCTCTTCTCCCCACAAAGGATAGAACCCACTACCTAAGCTTGTGCCCTGACTGGGAATCGAAGCAGAGACCTCTTGGTTCATAGGTCAATGTTCAACCACTGAGCGACACCAGCTGGGCTGTTATGGCCTTTTGTTCATTTTCCATTAAAAAATGCTAACTGGTACAGATTTCATCACCTTTTAATAGGTTCTGACCTGCATTTTGTCAAAAGTAACATTTTTATTACTGGAAGAATGCTAAACTGAAATGGTTATAGATACTGAAAAATTAGGTTCCTTTTTAGATAAGCCTTGTCATTGATACTTCTTTCCCATCATCTTACCTTACGAAGTGCAATAAAATGATTGGTCATTAAGCTGAAGCATCCTTTTGCCAGTTAACTGCCACAATAATTAGAATTTAATTTTAAAAGGAATTGCTGCTGATTGCATCTATAGACGCTTATGGCGTACAGATAGTTTTTTGCAGTAATTGTTTGAAAAAAGAAAATGCCAGGGGTGTGGTATTAAGAGTAGATGGGTGGTAGGAAAGTGAAGGGGGAATTTTTTTTCTTTTTAAACCAAAAAGTGGGATTCTGCTACAGTCAATACATTTTCATATTTGTATTCAGTGTTCTGTAGTTATTTCTATGGCTAAAGTGTAGCAGTAGTGCTTTATTGATTCTGTCATGATAACATTTAAAAAACAATGAATAATACTGTACTGGTCAGCAGTGTTAGCAGTGTGAGCCTGCATGAAAAGTATGTGCTATTTAAACTAGGCCAACAGAGGATCAGAAAATCCAGTCAGAGGGTAGCTGAGTTTATTCAGAGTACAGAGTTTGTATAGTATTCAAACTATCTGTTTACTATGTATAATTTTTTTTGTAACTGACTCAGATATTCTAAGGGATTCAGAAAAAGAATGAAAATGTGTAAGAGAGAGAGATGGTCTCTTCCTTGTTCATTGTGTTATCTAATGTTTGTTGAGGCGTTACTACATACCAGTCACTGTGTAAATACTTTGTGGCAAAAATTGTAAGCGGTAGATACTCCCGTGTTTTCTCATCTACAGATGAGAGTACAGGTTGAGAGAGATGAGTGACCTGTTACATACTTCTCAGGCCAGGATAGGAACGCATGTGTATCTGACTTTAAATGCTGTCAGTTCAGTAACTTTCTTTTCTTGATTGCTAGGTAGGAGACTAATTTTTAGGAATGATAATACCAGGATGCTTTTACTCATGTGCCAGAATATGTCTATCCTGGGGTCAGTGAACAGGATGGCTTGTTTTCTTCCCCTATGGCACGGCATCTCGGCAGCCTCTCTGGTCAGCACGCAGGGACCGACTCCTTTCAGTGGCTGTCTCATCTTTACCGAGTGAGTGGGTCTGCAGGGATTGCTTAGCACCTGTTAGTGAACTAAATTGCAGGAATATATTTGTAGAGTGAATTCCTAGCAGTAGAATCACTGGATCAGAAGGATTTTAAATTTGGTGAATAGCGCCTAATTACTCTGGAAAAATTGCACCAATTTATAATTCCATCAAAATATTACGAGGGGGCCGTTTTTTTTTTTTTTTTTTTTTTTTTTTTTTTTTGGTCTGTTTCAGTTTTGTGATACTGGCTGTTTTCACATTTTTAAGTTTTTGTGAAATTGGATGAAAAATGGTACTTTATTGAGCATATTTTTGTGTTAGGAAGACTTTCTAAGAACTTTGTTAATGTGGTCCATTTATTTTATTTTTTAATTAATTTATTTTTTTAAATCAATTTTTATTGTTCATATTATTACAAAGGTTCCTCATTTCTTCCCCCCTCCTATTTTATTTTTTAAAATATTTTTTATTGATTTTTTTTTTTTTTTTTTTTTACAGAGAGGAAGAGAGAGGGATAGAGAGTTAAAAACATCAATAAGAGAGAAACATTGATCAGCTGTCTCCTGCACACCCCTCACTGGGGATGTCCCCACAACCAAGGTACATGCCTCTGACCGGAATCGAACCTGGGACCTTTCAGTCCGCAGACCGACGCTCTATCCACTGAGCCAAACCGGTTTTGGCTGTGGTCCATTTCTTGATTTGTAATAGCTTTTCATATTGCGGGACTTGCTTGCCATTAATATGGCACATATTTTTCTACATCGTGTTAGTCTTGGTAATTCTTTAAAAGTGTAGAAGGTTTTAGTGAAATATTTAAATGTATGGAGAAGTGTAGAGAGAATTGAGTAAACACCCACAATACCCATATCTTAATATTTTGCCGTTTTAGCTTGATCTCTTGGAAATAAAACATTAAATGTATAGGTGAAGTTCAGTTTACTTATTTATTACCCTTGTTTGTTTTAATCACCCCCCCCCCCCCCCCCCGCCCCCAAACACAGGTAGTCCCTATGTCCTTTAATTACTATTTGCTGTGTGAATGCTAATAAGTAGTATTGTTTTGCATGTGTAAAGTTGTTTATAAATGATTCATTTATATATATTCATTTTGCTTTTACATTAATTCTGCCCTTGAGTTTTTTTCCATGTTGCTATATGCAGATTTAGACAACTGTCGAGTATTCTGCCTGGTGCCTCTGCCACCTTTCATTTGTCTGTTTTAGTTCAGGTTATTTATACCTTTTGGCTACTGTAGAGAGCCCTGCATTGACTATTCTTGTCATGTTTCCTTGTAAGTGGATAAGATTTTCTAGGCCAGTGCTCCTTAACCTCAAATGTGTAATAAGATAACTCAGGGGTTTTCTTAAAATGCAGGTTCTGATTAGAGTAGGTTTCAGGATAGGACCCTAGTTCCAAACTGTTCAGTGATGTTGATTTTGCTTATCCATGGACCAAACTTCTGATAACAAGGCTCTAATCTATAGTTAAAAGAGAAATTGCTGGGACTTGATTAGATATTGCTAAATTCTCTCCCATGTGATGTATGGAGTTATACTCCTGTATGCTGCATTTAACCATTTACTTTATACTCCTGCCAACATTTTGTCAGAGTATCAGAGTTAACATTTTTGCCAGTCTTGGTTATAAAATGCATTGTCACTGTTCTTTGACATTAGATTACATTTCTGTGAATTGCCTGTTCACATTCTTTTTTTTTTTTTTTTTTAATTTAAATCTTCATTCGAGGATATCTTTCTATTGATTTTTAGATAGAGTGGAAGGGAAGGGGACAGATGAGAGAGAAACATTAATTGTGAGAGAGACACATCCAATGATTGTCTCCCACACACACCCTGACCTGGGCCAGGGATTGAGCCTACAACCCAGGTATCTTTTTTAATTTTAATTTATTTTTTTCATGGATCACAAGGCAGTATTTTTTTTTTTAATTTAATCTTTATTGCTCAGATTATTACAATTGTTTCTCCCCCTCCTCCCCATAGCTCCCTTCCACCAAGTTTCCACCTCACTTTCTGCCCTTGCTTTCCTCACCCCCATTGTTCTCATCCATAGGTGTACTATTTTAGTCCAGTCTCTTCCTGCACCCCTTGCACCCCTTTCCCCCTGATAATTATTAATCCACTCCCTTTCTTTGCCCCTAATTCTATTATATTCACCAGTTTATTCTGTTCCTCAGATTTTTAATTCACTTGATTTTTAGATTCACTTGTTGATATATATGTATTTGTTGTTCATAATTTTTATCTTTACTTTTTTCTTTTTCTTTTTCCCCTTCATAAAGAATACCTTTCAGCATTTCCTATAATAATGGTTTGGTGGTGATGAACTCCTTTAGCTTTTTCTTATCAGTGAAGCTCTTTATTTGCCCTTCAATTCTGAATGATAACTTTGCTGGGTAGAGTAATCTTGATTGTAGGTTCTTGCTATTCATCACTTTGAATATTTCTTGCCACTCCCGTCTGGCCTGCATAGTTTCTGTTGAGAAATCAGCTGATAATTGAATGGGTGCTCCCTTATAGGTAACTAACTGTTTTTCTCTTGCTGCTTGTAAAATTCTCTTTTTGTCTTTTGCCCTTGGCATTTTAATTATGATGTGTCTTGGTGTGGTCCTCTTTGGATTCCTTTTGTTTGGGGTTCTGTGCGCTTCCTGGGCTTGTAAGTCTATTTCTTTCACCAGGTGGGGGAAGTTTTCGGACATTATTTCTTCAAATAGGTTTTCAGTATCTTGCTCTCTTCTTCTGACACCTTCATACTTATGATGTTGGTACACTTGAAGTTGTCCCAGAGGCTCTTTACACTATCTTCAACTTTCTGAATTCTCTTCTTGCTTCTGCGGAGGAGTGTCCTTTGCCTCTTTGTGTGCCAAATCTTTGATTTGATTCTTACATTCCTCTAGTCTGCTATTGGGTCTCTGTACAATATTTTTTATTTCAGTAAGTGTATGTTTAATTTCTAGTTGGTCCTTTTTCATATCCTCGAGGGTCTTGTTAAATTTATCGGCCTTTTCTAGGAAATTCTTGAAGAACCTTATAATTGTCATTTTGAACTCTATCTAGTCGTTTGTTCTCCTCCATTTCTTTCAATTGAGATCTGTTTCCTTGTCTCGGCATTTTCGCTGCTTTCCTGAGTTGGTAGGATGGCTTTGTATGTTTGGTATCTTATATGGGCCGGTGGGTCAGCCTCCTCAATTACCTGAGGTAGACACTCTTGGTGTTCTCCTTTGGGGACTGCATGTACAGCCTTGTAGCTAAGTCTTGATTGTTATTGGTATTCCTGAGAGGAATTGACCTCCAGGCCAATTGAATGTGAGTATCAGCTGTGTCTACTCTGAGATACCTTCTGTATTGGAGACAGTCTTATAGGATCAGACTGGCAAAATTGCCAAAGCCTCTGCGCTCAGCTTGGATGGGGCGGAGTCTCAGGGCTGAACCCACACGACAGTCTTGGCTTCCCGTCAGCCCAGCCCTTGTGTGCACGCCTCAGATCTCTGCCTTCCGTGGATCCGCCTGACAGTCTTCCCTCTGTAAGAGCCTGAGTGCTCCAGGTGCTCGCCCTGAACTGGGTTCAGTGCTCAGTGCAGTCAGAACTGGGGTTCAGTGCGGTGAGGAGCTTCTGACTCCTGCTATGGAGAGGCTGTGGGAGCCTCCGAGGTCAGACCTCTCTGTGTGCATTCCCTCGCACGCAGATGTGCCTCTAGACCCTGCCTGCTGCGGCTCCCGGCTCCCCCGAGTCTCCCAGTCTCTGAGTCTCTGGGTGCCTTTCTCTACATTCCAGACTCCACCCGTATGAGCCTGGGTCCACGGGGTTTCGGCCGGGGCTGGGGTTCAGTGCGTCGAGGGCTTCCTTTCTTTCCCCTCCCTCCCTCCAGCCAAGCAGCCTTCCTCTCTGCGCGCACGTCTCCCTGCCTCAGTGTTTTGCGCCCCCCTGATCTGTGAGCCTCTCTCCTTTCTAGTTGTAGATTTCCCACTCGGCCAGCTTTCCTGTGGTTTTGAATGATGTCCATATTTTGCCTCATTCTCTTTATACTATTTTACCTTCCAAATGTTGGGGTGGGTAGAGGTAGTGGCCATGCTCGTTCAGCATGGTGCTCCTGCTTTCACGAGGTAGAAGAAAATAGACCCACAACACGTCCATCTTACAAGTTACCAAACACTGAAATAGCTACAACTTCCAACTGCTTAAATTCCGGGAAATAAAGCCAGAGTGTTAGCTTTTAAAGTTATATTTAGGGTTCATGTATGTTTACGCATACGCTTATAATTTGTTTCAGCCCTCATTGAATTTTGAGAAGCATTCTGAACACTTTTCATGGACAGAAAATCGTTACGATGTGAGTCGTCGACGACACAACTCTTCAGACGGCTTTGATTCTGGTATTGGACGTCCCAGTGGAGGTAATTTAAGAAAATTATTTTTCATAATTTAGGAACGTTTTGATTGTGATTGAGACTTTAAGTATAACCATTTTTGAATTTGTAATACTTTTATCAAAAAAGGTAACTTTGGAAGGAAAGAGAAAAATGGATGGCGCGCACACGGGAGAAATGGCACGGAGAACATAAACCACCGAGGGGGCTACCATGGCGGGAGTTCCCGGTCTCGGAGCAGTGTTTTCCATTCTGGAAAGAGCCAAGGACTCCACGAAAACAGCATCCCTGACAATGAGCCAGGGAGGAAGGAAGACAGGAGAGAACGCAAGCAGTTTGAGGCTGAGGACTTTGTGAGTGAATTGTCATTGTAGTACAAATGTGGTTTTTGTAAGTGCTGCTTCTAGCACAAGCCCATTATCCACTGAGAACACAGGTCCAGTCCACTGCTTCCTCCCTCCCTCCTTACGCCCGTATCCTGCTACCATGGTCTTAAAGACCCTTTGATAGGTTTGTCATTCCTTAGAGAAACCTGTTTATTTAAAATATATTTTTGTTGATTTCAGAGAAGAAGCGAGAGGGAGAGAGAGAAACATCAATGATGAGAGAGAATCATTGATCAGCTGCCTCCTGCATGCTCCCCACTGGGGCTCGAGCCTGCAACCCAGCCATGTGCCCTGACTGGGAATGAACCTTGACCTCCTGGTTCATAGGTCAGTGTTCAACCATTGAGCCACACTGGTCAGGCTCCTTATAAAAATTTTAAGTTTCCCACAGAAATAATGACTGAGTTCTAGTGGCCTGTTTACAAGTGCATTGCATTTTACTTAGATTGCCTCTCTCAACATGATTACTTATATATGACGCTTACGTGAACCCCAGCATAGCAGTCTTTTCTTTCAGCTACTTTCTCTATTCACAAGTTTCTTTGTGGTCAGGGAAGGAAAACTAATTGTTAGCCTAGGTCAGTTACATTAGGAATAGCAACTCCACTACTAAAAACAAGTATGAACTAATTAAAAACCAAATTTTCTTAACTTTTCCTATTGGTGAAGCTCACCATGTGGCTGGCTTTTCTAAACATGTTTCCAGTTACATAACAATTGATCTAGTGTACACTTTTACCTAGTGTTTGTGGTTCCGGTAATTTCTTTTTGTGTTTATGCTCATTATCCATTCAGCATTCATTTGAGTGGCTCTGCGTCTAACTCTTCTTGGCCCTCAGAACACATAGGTGAATAAGATAGGCAAAGTCCCCCACTGTTACTGAGTTACATTCTTTTGGGGACATTAGGACCATAAAAAGAAAAAATAATATTGCAGAGGATTTAGACAGGACGTGATTGGCTACTCTGGTTTACCAGATCAGAAGAGGTTTCTGCAGGGAAGTGTCTTTTAAGCTGGGACTTGGAGGAGCGAGTGTTGTTACGACCGGAGACTGGGGAAGAGCCGGGAAAGAGTCGTGTTAGCTCCCTCAGAGAGGGGAAGGGTTTAGTGCGTAGGCCTCTTGCCTGCAACGTAAACCATTTTAGTTTAATTACAAGTGCAGCAGGAAGCCTCTTGGGAGAAGCCATGTGAGTTGATTTTAGTTGATTTGAAGATGATCCCAGTAGTTAGAACTTGAACGGATTACGATGAGAGCAGAGAGACCAGTTAGGAAGTGGCCATTCCAAGTTGTTGAGGAGAAAATAGCTTGACTGGGTGGGAGCTGTGACCGCCGAAGATACATGGTTTGAGGTGTAGTTTGATGGTAGTTTGGGTGGAGGGTGGAAGTGAAAGAATAAGACAGATTGGATTTGGGTCAGGGAAGTGGTGAGGGAAAGAGAGGGACAAGAGCTGAAACCGGTTTGGCTAGAGCGGTGGTCTGTGGACTGAAAGGTTCCAGGTTTGATTCCGGTCAAGGGCATGTACCTTGGTTGTGGGCACACCCCCTGTAGGGAGTGTGCAGGAGGTAGCTGATCGATGTTTCTCTCTATTTCTATGGCAAGCACTCAATGCAACCTAGATGCTGCTATGATTATTATACTCCACCCCCACTCCCAAGATGGCCGGCATCAGCCATTACAATCCTAGTCCTGGCATGCAGACTGATAGTCTGCTGTCTCATACTAGAGGGGTCCTGACAAAGCACATAGAACTGCCACCAGTCTTCCTGAGTTTGTGTCAGGAATCCACACTGGTTTGCATGCATGCCCTTTGGGGCTTTTGGTAATGTTGTCAGGAGAGGATTCGTTTTTTTTTCCCAACACATGTTAAGCACCTTTATGGCATGGCAGGCTGGGTTGCTAGGTAATATGGGACATATCTGATGGAAACTTAGGACTTTAGATGGTAAACATATCTATTAAGATTAGCTTTAGAGCACACATTCAGGGCTCAACTCCATTTCTTTTTAAAAAAAATACATTTTTATTGATTTCAGAAAGGGAAAGAGAGAAACATCCATGATGAGAATAATTGATTGGCTGCCTCTTTTTACTGGGGATCGAGCCTGCCACCGGGACTGGAATCGAACCTGGGACCCTTCAGTCTGCAGGCTGATTGATGCTTTATCCACTGAGCCACACCAGCTAGGGCTCTATTTCTTTTTAATATTCCAAGCATCACTTGTTAAAATAGAATTTGCACTTTGCTTTGAGAACGAGTTGCTAATGAAAGCATCCAGTAATGAAAACCAGCATTGGGGGGCAGATTGGTTCTCCTCTTCGCTGCTCTTGACCTCGTGCTGAGAAAGGATGTTCCTCAGATGGATGCAGACTGCACTCCGTGTGTGTGTGTGTGTGTGTGTGTGTGTGTGTGTGTGTGTGTGTGTGTGTGTGTGTGGTGGGGGGAGGTGTTGGACACTTTTCTCTCATGCAGTCGGGGAGGAGGGACATATTTAAAGACATTGTTCTTGTTTTCTCCTACGAGGAGGGAGGATAGGTAGTAATCATTATAATAATGAGCAGACTAAGTTGAAAGTTAGGGCTATGATTATAATTACTCTGTAATCATTGAGATGATGATGTCATTTTTTCAGTATGATTTTGAGGTTACTTTTAAAAGGATTTTTGTTTTTTTTTAAATGTGAGAGGTTAAACATTTTTTTGTGTTGTTTTCATTCCAACTTCCAGCCGTCTTTAAATCCTGAATATGAGAGAGAACCAAATCAAAATAAGTCTCTAGCTGCAGGCGTATGGGGTAAGTACTTTTTTATTTATCTTTGAGGGGTATAAAATGTTATTTGTAGGTTTTACTTTTCTGTATTTTTAAAAATAAATAGGGCAGAATTAAACCTTTTCTTTTAAATAAGTTTTGATGTGCTTAGCTACAAAAGGGTGGCACTTAGCTTTTAAAAACAAGATAGATTTTTGAGTCAAAATAATTGATTTGTACCATTAAGTTTACTAACATGAATTTTTTAAAAAACGGTCTTACGTTAATGTAATGAATGGATGGATGTATTTGGAGAGTGCCCCAATCATCATCTAAAGAAAAGACTTAGTTTTAAATTAATTTTTAGTTTTTCAAAGTTAAAAACTTGTTAACTGGAAAGATACATACTTCTAATCATACCTATGAAAATGGTTACACAGAGTATTAAAATATACCAATTTGCCTATGGAACTAGTCTGTTTGAAATTATTTGCTTTTTGATTGTCAAAGCTTAATGACAGTTTTTCTGGTAATAACTCCGTTTTCTTTAAAATTGCTTAGAGTTTAATAGAATCGTACAAAAGATTTAAACTGCACTTAGTATAAATTAGACAGCCTTTTAAAGATTCAAGTGAAGTTTAAAATAATGGAAACATTTATAATATAAAGATTTGATATCCGAAAAATAAATTTTTATTATTTGATACCAAATTCAAAGGTGGTGCATTCACTTTGGAACTTATACACGTTCATTTGTATGTTTCTACTGAAAGTCAACAACTTATCAAAACAAGGATTGTGGCTGTGGCAGCATACTAGTCCTAACAATAAAGGCATTATTTTAAACTTTGCCACTTCCTGTGCTGTTCTTTATTGTATTTATGGGGTGATGCTCTGGGGAATTACTTTGTTTCTTTTGATCTCCAGATTGATTTAAGGGTTTTTGAGGGTGGGGGTGGGGGCGGTCAGACACTTTTGTGAGAACCATGTGAATGGCATTGTTTTTTCTGTATTGCAAATTAGTATTTCTACCACTCTCCCCAGGCCTACACGCCCAGACACACACATACCCAACCAAAAAAATCTCCCAAGCTCCTCTCTTAGGTATGTTTCCTTATTATTCAGTTTTTCTGGGAACAGCTGATTGCATAAGAATATAGAATCACCTGGAAGGTGTTAAATAGATTCTCTAAGGAATTAGGAATGATTTGGATTTGATTAGAATGAAAGTACATAAAAAGTCAAGAATGTCAGTGAGCATTTGTCATATAAAATCTCCTATAGATACTATTGGTATTGAGCCTTTGCTAATTTGATAAGTTTAGAAATGATTTAAAGGCAAATACATCTTTGAAAATATTGAGAATACCGTGTGTTAATAAAGGATTTTGGTTCTACTATTTCAGGATTGGTGTAATAAGGATTTGAGCACTATAGTTGAAAGATGTTTAAAAGGAAGATGCACTCTTGACTCTGTCTTAGGTAAACTGAGAAGTGTGTCTGCATTAGAAAGAAATGGTTCATGGTGGCTTGGTTAATTAGTCAATTCCCAGTACTTCCCATAGGAATACAATGAAACTTCCATTGTTTAGTACTTTATTATTCCTTTCTCGATCCTCCCTCTCCCCTTCCCCACCCCGGGTTCCCAAATACTGTTTTACCCACTGCAACATTTAAAATAGTGATTATGTTCCTGAGGAAGACATGAGAGAAATTTAGAAAAGACTTCAATTGAACCTTTTCTAGTGCTTCCTTCCAGGTAAGTAAAAATTTAATAATGGAAATGTAATGCCTAAATATAAAATAAAAATAAATCAGTTTGTCCCTAAAATTATTTCTTATAGATCAAAAATTGCTAGAGCCTAAACATAACATCTCAATTTAAAAAAACCGTTTGGGAAAGTAATTAAGCCATTTAAGAAATTGTTACATAAGCTTGATTCTACTTAGAAGCTAATTGGATTTACGGGAAACACCTTCATGCAGCTCTACCCTTGACCTTAACCAGGGCCGCTGTTGCTCACTAGATCCATCTTATTTCCATTCTTTCATAATATGAAACTGAAGCAAATATTCAGGATGTTTCAGTGTGCCCTCGGGAATTTTAAAAACAATTTAATTGTGTGGCTTTGTTTGGGGTGTGAGGAGAGATAAAATGATAGGTTTATTATGGTTTGTATGCAATTTGAGACATAATTAGGGACTGATGTTTGTGTTTTCAGGACTCCTACTGGCTATTTTTGTGTGGACACAACCTGTCAGCAATATGTTATTGGCAGAGCCAACAGACATGCAGTGCTTAAGAAACTAAGTCATGAAAACTTGTCATTAGTAATCGACTTAAAATTTAGTCTTGTTTCATCTCCGAATTCTTGTGACTATTCCTTTATAACTTGATGGACTTATCAGACTTTTGCTCATAATTGATATACTGCTTGAGAGCTTTAAGGTTTATTTTTAAGAATTTTGTTTAGCTTTCAAAATCAAAGCAAATTGGCGACTAGTTTTGTTTTTAAAAATATATATTTTATTAATTTTTTACAGAGAGGAAGGGAGAGGAATAGAGAGTTAGAAACATCAATGAGAGAGAAATATTGATCAGCTGTCTCCTGCACACCACCCACTGGGGATGTGCCTGCAACCAAGGTACATGCCCTTGAACGGAATCGAACCTGGGACCTTTCAGTCTGTAGGCCTACACTTTATCCACTGAGCCAAATCGGCTGATGACTGTTTTTTAAAGATGGGATGTTTTCTAGAGAATTCCAATGATATTAGCCACAAGCATACAGATATGATTCCGTTAAATAAGTTAGATCATGTTGAAAAGCACTGTTGATTTTTTTTTTTAAATAATGTATTTTATTGATTTTTCACAGAGAGGAAGAGAGAGGGATAGAGAGTTAGAAACATCGATGAGAGAGAATCATTAATCAGCTGCCCCTTGCACACCCCCTACCGGGGATGTGCCCGCAACCAAGGTACATGCCCTTGACCGGAATCGAACCCGGGACCTTTCAGTCCCCAGGCCGACGCTCTATCCACTGAGCCAAACCGGTCTCGGCAGCACTGTTGATTTTTTAAAAGGAACTTTGTAAGCAGGATCAAGAGAAGGGAAAATCTATCAAATATCTTTGTAAAAGCGTTATATGGATAAATTATGTATTGAAATGACTCCACTTTCCTTGATGTCCTTCTTATATGGAAACAATTAAAATTATTCCAAGGATCAAGGTTGAGAAAAGAAAGGTAAGGGGGTTTGATTGGACTACTTGCCACAAGTTAATTCTATTTTGTCAGGGTTAGGAGTATTACTTGTTCATCGTGGAAATGGTTTTTACTTTAGAAGTGCATTTCTTTAAGCCTGTCCTTCATATGAGTAACATAGAGGGTTTGTTAAAGGAAAAGTGCCTTACCCCTGCTATTGACATAAATTGTTAAACTCATTTGTTTAACACTCTCATACTGTTGTTGCAAAGCAAAACAAACTTAAATTTCATTAAATTAAAAAGTTCAAACAACATCAGTCTCTATAAAAATAATGTCAACAGGCTATTGAGTATAATAGTGTTCATATTGCCCTGGCCTGGCTCCCCTGGGAGGAGTGTTGCTGGGCACCATAGGCTGTGGCTTCAGTTCCTGGACAAGGCAGAGTCCTAGGTTGCAGGTTCCATCCCCTGCTGGGGCTCATGTGGGTCCCAGCCAATGTCAGTGTTTCTCTCCATATCAGTGTTTCTTTCTCCCTGCCTCTCTCTAAAAAACAATAAAAGCATATCCATTGAACCAAACCGGTTTCAGCTCTAGTAAATTTATTAAGAGGCCAAAGAGGAAAGTGATATGTCAAAGAATAAATTAATAAGTGAAACAAATTTTATATGGCAGCTATGTAGAATATAATGAAAGAAAGGATGAGAAATTAAGCATATGGCCAGTTTGCTTTGTATTACATGTAACTATATATTCCTCACCTAAATTTTCCCATTTAGTTTTTCAGAGAGTGGAAGGGAGGGGGAGCGAGAGCAGGGGGTAGAAGAGAGAAAGAAACACCGATTAGTTGCTCCCCCCTTTCTTCCCATGCTTTGACTAGGGGCTGTGCTTGGCGCCTGCAACTGAGGTACCTGCCCTTCACCCTGAAGGCCAAAGCCCTAACCGCTGAGCCAAACCAGCTAGGGTGATGTGGCAGTATTTTATTTCTCATCTTTCTTCCAAAAGAATGGAGTCATTTCGACCACTGACTTTGTATGGAAGGAGTAAAAATAATTATTATATTCACAGATATTGGGAGCATGACCAATAGGATAATAAAAGGATATTGAAAATTAGTTATTGGTAGGCTCCAGTTGTTTCTGAGGATGACGGGGCACTAACAATATGAAAATTTATAGTCATGTTTTCCTTCAGGTGCTTAAAGTTAAATTGAACGAGAATACCTGCTAAGGAGCTTGATGCAATGAGCATGTGATTTAGTCATTCTCTAAGATCACCCCCTTTCTAACTCTAAGGTCAGTGTTAGGGCCTGTCACCAACACAGACCGTTTCTCTTTAAAAGAATAATCAAGAGCAAGGACCATGCCACTGCATCACGTGGGGTATGGCGCTGAGCAGCTCAGGCACAGACAGTAGGAGGCGAGCACACAGGGAAGGGCTGGAGTTCTGGGGGGTAAACAGCCACATACACGGTGACGGACGGTCTGCCTGGGAGGTGGGCACACACGGCTGTGTGCAGACCATGTATCATAAAAAAGTAGCCCTGAAGCCTGTGGATCCCATTAACCAGTGTTCCCCCAGTAACAATAAAAAGTAAAAGAATAAACAATTTGGGTAGTTTCCATACAGTTTACCAATTGGCAAAATAAGGGGAACAAGTAGGAGACGTTGGATGTGGTTTGTCACGTGGAAGGAGGTTGCGAGTCTGTCCCGGGAGGCCTGCAGCTCAGTTTCTGAGGGACCCCTCAGGGAGTCGGGTTTGGTTGGTTGAGCTGGAGCATCACCATAAGACATCTATGCAACTCACTGCACCACAGGATCATCTCTTATATGCAACACTAGAACTTTAATCTAGATTTTCTTGGGTTTCTTTCTTCAAGTTAATTATTTTATTCTGAACTCTTTAATTATGAAACTTGTGTTTTCAGAAATTTTCATTGCAATAATTGGGAACACACTCACAGGTTAACACCTGTGTGATTATACAGACATCGATCAAATTCTAGGAGTAGTTTTTCATGTTTCATGTTTCATGCTGTGTGGTCTTGAGAAAAGCTTTTAGTTAGCAAGTGCTATTCTTAGTACTACCTTCAGATGTAGGATTGAGTCGGTTACCCTGCACCTCATAAATGCCTTCAGTTCAGTGGTCAATAAATATTTGAATGAATTGATTGGTATGTCAAAATAGAACTTTCTTATTAGTCATAACTCAAGTAGAAATAAGTGAGAATGAAAAGGAATTAGGAAAATTCTCTTTTCAAAATGGAAAAGTGGAAAATATACTTGGTATTTCAAGTCTTAAGGGCCATTAGGATGAGAACTGCTATGAACATAAAATAAATTAGGAGCTAATCTTGCTTTGATCATAGTTAACATCGCCAGGCTACTGTCTAGCTGATCCATTATCTATATTACTTCACCCGGCGCAGTTCTTCCTGTGATTTGCTCAGCTATGTTTTAGCTGTATTTCTTATGCAGGAGTATAGCTTATACTTACTTAGCTTACATGACCCAGGAAGCAGCTGTTTATTTAAATACAGTCAAGGCTTAGAGTATGCTCTTCTTTGGTGGTTTAATTTTATGTTAAAATTTAAACTAACGCCTGCTCGTGCTTTGTCTATGCAGAGTACCCTCCGAACCCCACATCTCGAGCGCCCAGGATGCTGGTCATTAAGAAAGGCAATGCCAAGGACTTGCAGCTGTCGGGGTTCCCCGCGGGAGGGAACCCCCCGTCACAGCCAGTGAAGAACGGGACTGGCCCCAGTGTTTATAAAGGCTTGGTCCCTAAGCCTGCTGCTCCGCCCACAAAAGTAAGTTCCACATGGTGAACATCCCATGTTGTAATTGATATCAGTTGAATTATTTTGGGAAAATAGTGTTAGGAAATTTACACTGAATTGTTGGAATGTTTTGTAGGGAACTGGTTGTGTGTCATTAATTTTAATTTTAATTTAAATGGCATGTGTTTGTCATGTGTGTTTTCTTGTTTTAGTAGTAAATAAAGTCTGTAAAACTTCTTTTGCTAGATGCATCTATGGTATATTTGCATAACAATATATAATGCTGTTTTCTTGGTGTACTGTTTTAGGTTTTTGAAACTCCCACTAGTATTTTCTTGACAATAGGTAAAAGAAATCTCATTTTAGGTTTATAAAACTGAAAAAAATTGCAATGTAGTCAGATGTTTTTATTTGAATACCACACTTTGATTTTATTTGTAGAAAAAAATGCAAGAGAATCCTGTGGTAACGATTATGATATAATACAGAAATATCTGTTTTTACAAGCCCCATGTAGTCCCCTTTGTTTTATATTCTCTTCTCTCCCTTGTAGTCTGTGTTTTTACAGATATTAACGTCTGTGTGCTTTTCTGTAGCCTACTCAGTGGAAAAGCCAAACTAAAGAGAATAAAGTTGGGACTTCTTTTTCTCATGAGTCTACATACGGTGTTGGCAACTTCAATGCTTTTAAGTCAACAGCCAAGAATTTTAGTCCATCAACGACGACAGTGAAAGAGGTGCGGCCTTTACAATTGTTTCTGAGGAATGTAACCTTGTAATCACGAGAGTCTCATTACAGCAATACCCACGAGTTCTTTCACAACACTTTTTGAGATAGTTCTCCTGCTTGCTGACACTTTTCAGCATTAAGTAGGAATGAGTTTTAATGAAGATTTCCAAATATCCCAAAATGTAGACAAAATAATACCCATATACCTACCGACCAGAAAGACTAATTAAGAATTAGGAAAATGACAGTTTAGACGTTTTCTTATAAAGTTATGCATTAGGGACTAAGGAAGCTTTGTTAGTACTAACACTTAGGGGACAGAGGGAGGGGGATGAGGGGAAATGCACATTCTTGCACTGGGTGAGATGCCTGCTAAGGTAAGTATTTTTGTGTCCTTTGGCCAGGTTCTGAAACTTCAATGTCAGGGAGTTTTCTGACCAGTTTAGGGTCAGAAGACAGTTGCACTGTGTGGGAACACATCTCATATACTAACTACCCTGTTTTCCCAAAAATAAGACAGTGTCTTATATTAGTTTTTTCTCCCAAAGTTGCACTAGGTCTTATTTTCAGGGAATGTCTTATCTTTCCATGCGCTAGGTCTTATTTTCGGACGATGTCTTATTTTCGGGGAAACACGGTAGTTTTCCATTGTAGAACGCCAGAGCTTTGGTGAAGTACCAGCGTTGTCAGCTGGTTAGCCATGGTGTAGATTCATTACAGTTGTACAGACGTTTTGCCAACAGTTAAGCATTATGGCTTATTTCCATTGTTAAAACCTGATCCAGAGTTCTAAAACTGTTTCCTACTGTATCCCACTATCAAAAACAAACACGGAAAACAAAGGGATGTCAATACGTGATTCTTTCCCCCTTCCCTCCTGCTCCTCCAAATGTCCCCTGGTGAAATCCTACCTGGTAAAGCCCTATGTGTGCCTGTGTAAATACATGAAAACAGATCTTATGCGAGCTGTTATTGGACCTTGAAGCTGAGAATTCTGGGAAAGACAGCATACAACTGCTTTTCTGTGTATTGTAGAAATGCTTAAACATTTCAGGGTTTTTAGAAATTCCATAAAATAGTATTTAAACTCCTAACTTCGAGTCAGTTAGTTCTTTGTGTTATCAGACCTTAATTGTTTCTGGAATAAGAAAGTTCTTTTTTTCTTTTTTGAGAAAATTCTTTTGTTTATTTATCTAATGGAGTAGATAAAACGTTGGGATAGAGGAAGCTCTTTGACAGAGACCTTAACACCAGGTTTGTATTGTGGATGAAGGTGAAAGAGGAGGTTGTGGTGGTGGTTTTGAACGTTACATTGACATTAGTTCTCTGTTTACATATTTATCAATCTCTCTGAATTTTTTCCTTAGAGTAATCGCTCCAATTCCTCTTCACCTGTTGACAAACTCAGCCAGCAGCCTCGGCTCACCAAGCTGACCCGAATGCGCACGGACAAGAAGAGCGAGTTTTTGAAAGCGCTGAAGCGGGACCGAGTGGAGGAGGAGCGTGAGGAGGAGAGCCACGCTGGCTCCGAGAAGGTGACTCGGTGTGGGTCCTTGGGGTATTTGGGCCAGAACCAGTTAGGACCCTTGCATCAACTTTAATGACTTTCCCCTAAAGTACAGTTCTCTCATTCTGTGGTTCCTATACAAAAATAAAACTGAAAAAATTCCTGGTCAAATATGATTTTTGTTCTCCCCACATTGCCTACCTTCATCCTTTGCGTTTTTGCTTTTGTTGAAAAAATGTGAATATTATAGTTAATAATCTGTGTGTATCCATCACAGCTTAGTTTTGTGTGTTTAACTAGTACTATATATATATTTAAATATATTTTATTGATTTTTTTACAGAGAGGAAGGGAGAGGGATAGAGTTAGAAACATCGATGAGAGAGAATCATCGATCAGCTGCCTCCTGCACCCCCCCACTGGGGATGTGCCCGCAACCAAGGTACATGCCCTTGACAGGAATTGAACCTGGGACCTCTCAGTCCACAGGCCGACGCTCTATCCACTGAGCCAAACCGGTCTTGGCTATATATTTTTTAATTGATATTAGGTAAAGTTAGAGTGAGAGAAAAATCAGTGATAAGAGAATCATCATTGGCTGCCCCTGGCCTGCCCCTGGGGATTGAGCTGCAGCCAGGGCATGTGCTCTGACCAGGGATCGAATCAGTGACCTCTTGGTTTCTGGGTTGATGCTCAACCATTGAGCCTTACTGGCCAGGCCATCAGATTTTATGAGAATGTCTTCTGAATTTAAGTAGAGGCCCGGGGCATGAAAATTCATACACTGGAGGGAGGGGTCACTTAGCCCAGCCTGCCCCCTCTCAGTCCAGGAGCCCTCAGGGGCGGGAGGTGATCCGGCGATCAGCCCCATCACACCTCTGTTGCTGCCACTGCCGGCAGCGCAAGCCTTGGCAGGCCCTGGTTACCTGAGGGTTGGGCAGCCCTGGGCAGCTGCCATCTGAGGCTTGCCTGCACTGCTGGCCAGCCCTGGGCAGCTGGGGAGACTGGGCGCCACCATCTTTGAGGGCGTGACAACCAATTAGCATCTCCCCTCCTTATTGTCTGTGAGTGCCACCATTTTTGAGGGCGTGTCAGTCAATTAGCATATTCCCTCTTTATTGACTGTAGGTGCTGCCATTTTTGCGATGGCATGAGGGTCAGTTAGCATATTTTCTCTTTATTAGATAGGATGATTATAAGCATTACATTTGTATGTTATCAACATAAGAGAACTAGGATTTATTAAAGTTTTTAACAACAGTGTTTTCTTACTGTTAATTCCCTAAAAATCAGGATGAAGACTCATTTAATTTGCATAACAGCAATAGTACTCACCAGGACAGAGATATAAACCGAAACTTTGATGAAAATGAAATCCCACAGGAGAACGGCAATGCCTCTGTCATTTCCCAGCAGGTCATCCGGTCCTCAACCTTCCCGCAAACGGATGTTCTCTCAAGTTCCCTTGAAGCAGAACACAGGTTAGTGCTCATTTTTACTTAGTATTTTTATATTGAGGGTTTTGATATTATACAATATAATATTGTTTTTAGCAGTTTATTGAGGTGTGATTTAATGCCGTACATTTCACACATTTTGAAAGTAAGTTCATGGACTTTTTTAATAAATTCAGAGTTGTGCAGTTGTTGTCACAGCCTAATCTTAGGCACTTTCCATACACCCAGAATAACCCCGGGCTTGTCTGGCGTGGTTATTCCTCCACCTTCCTGCCGTAGGCAGCCCGACCTACATCCTGTGTCTGTAGCTATGCCTTTTTATTTATTTTATAGAAGCAGAACCTTAAAGCATTTGTCCTTTATGTCTGGCTTCTTCTCTTAGCATGTTTTCTAGGTCCATAGACCAAACAGCATGTGTCACTTCTATGCTCCTTTTCTTACCTCCGTGCGCTGTACGGCTCTGCTGTTCACAGGCTGACGGGATTGGGCTGTTGGCACTGGGTGCATTTTGTGAATTGTGCTGTGAGTGTCCCTGTCACAGTGTGTACGTCTGTATGGCATGCTCAGTACTGTGCCCAGCATCTGGCACTCACTGTGTGCTCAGCTTCTCTTCATAAAGGATGTCCAGCAGTGCCAGGGCCTCTGCCTGTGCTGTGACACTGTTGAGAGTGAGACGTGGACATGGCAAGGTGCTGGTTCTGTGGGAGAGGGGGTGTTTGGAGTGAGTGCCTACCTCATTTGTTCTAAGGGCTGTGGATGGAATAGCTTGACAAGCTCTGAATCCTTCATGGAGTTAGAGATGACCTTGTTAAGATAGATTTCTAATTGTGGGGGAACACAAGGTTATTATTACTACTTTTTGTTTGTTCATTCTTTCAAGATCATTTGTTTTGAAAGCTATTCCAGAAATAGTTATCAATTACAGCCTGGGAATAAGGGCACAGAGGAGAAAATGGACAGTTAGGAACCTGGACTTCTGTGACATGAGATAATTTGTTCCATCTGCATTGTTCAGGTTTTAACAGTGAAACCAGTTAGAGTAGTCTGATCTATAGACTCTGGACTGGGTGGCATTTGGATGGAGGAGAGGTTAGAGGTCAGACAGGGCACTGGAAGGAAATATTAAGTGGTGGAAAGGAATGAGAGAAATAGTAATTAATGGTCCAGAGGCAGCATATACCAATTGGAGAGGCAAAACACCAAATCTATTTCCTTCTCTGCTGTCAAGTAGGCAAGATGTTTTACTTACGTCATCTTGATTCTTTGTAAAACCCTGGTCTAGTATTCATTTTTTTTTTTTTTAATATATTGATTTTTTCACAGAGAGGAAGAGAGAGGGATAGATATATAGTAAGAAACATCGATGAGAGAGAATCATTGACCAGCTGCCTCCTGCACACCCCCCACTGGGGATGTGCCCACAACCATGGTACATGCCCTTAACCGGAATCGAACCCGGGACCCTTCAGTCCACAGATCAACGCTCTATCCACTGAGCCAAACCGGTTTCGGCTAGTATTCACTTTTATTTAGAATCTGACACCGATATTGTATGAGGTTATTTAAAAAGGCATACAAGTATACAACATAGCTAATTTGTTGCAGGCTCCAGTTGAGAGATGATAGGTGTGATTAGGAGTAACAGATACTTAAGACGTAGAATTAATTTTTTACAAAGTACGCCAGATCCGCGTAAAACATGTCCATCTGGAAAAGAAGTGTTTGAGTCCCTGAGCCAGGCGCCCGGCTCTGGCGGGGTGTTTGCGTTTGCCAGCTGGAGAGGTGGTGGGTCTTTTCCTGCCCGACGGGCCTAAGATGAAGGAAAGGAGAAGAATGACCACATTAGTCGTTGTGCTTGGATCCTGGAGGAAGCTTTAAGACGGCCCTTGCTGGGTTACAGAGAGCATCACGCCGTGCACAGTGCTCAGGTGCTGAGGAGGGTGACGGACATGCACAAGAGATGGTACCAGCAGGCAAATAAGTTACAAAGTGCATACGAAGGCGGGATGATAGCCCCATTTCTTTTCAAAGTAGAAGACCTGGTGTGAGCTAGGACAGAATGAACTGGTGGTGGTGATAGAGCAAGTGGGTAAGAAATTGCGTTTACTTTTGGTCCACTAATTTAGCAAATTGGAAGTTTCTAGACTAGTGCCTTTTGCAAGTTTCCAGCCTAGAGAATCTCAAACACCAGAATTTAAGCAGTGCATTCTGGTCTTGTTTTTTTTTTTTTTTTTTTTTTTTTTTTTTAATTTTTATTGATTTTGTACAGAGAGGAAAGGAGAGAGAGAGTTAGAAACATCGATGAGAGAGAGTCATCAATCAGCTGCCTCTTGCACTCCCCTTACTGGGGATATGCCCGCAACCAAGGTACATGCCCTTGACTGGAATCGAACCTGGGACCCTTCAGTCCCCAAGCCGACGCTCTATCCATTGAGCCAAACCGGTCCTGGCTGGTCTTGTTATCTAAGATGTTTTATTGGGTTTAATCTCATCTGTTACTCACTTTCAGAAAGACATCCAAAGCATAATTCAAGTCCTTGTTTGATGCACTAGTACTCTGAGGACTTTGTGAAAAGGTTCATGTTCTCTCCCACGTGACATAAACAGGTGCAGCTCTAATTTATTAATTCCCCCCTTTTTTTCAGATTGTTAAAGGAGATGGGCTGGCAAGAAGACAGTGAAAACGACGAGACATGTGCTCCCTTAACTGAGGATGAAATGAGAGAATTCCAAGTTATTAGTGAACAGGTGGGAAGACCCTAGTCAGACACAGTTCACTTCCCGTTGCCTTTTCTTAATCATAACAATGGATTTTAAAAAATAGTTTTTGGGGTTGGGGAGGTGTTAGTTTTTTCCAGGAGTTTATTGGATATCCCATTATAGGTCATCATCAATATAAATATATCTATTTCTTTGTCATCAGATCAGAAGGACAGAGTTATTACATTCCATTGCTCTCCAACCCAGTGGGCACAAAACTTTTATCAGTTAATTATTTTGTTATCAATGGGGTTGTATCTGCCCATCCTGGTCATCACAAGCTTTTACAACCAATTATCTTGGTTTGCTGCCGTATACAGTTGGCGCCTGGTGAAGTTCTCCTAGTGCCTTTATCCACATTCAAAGCAAAGCCTCTCTCAGATGCACACAGTGGTAAATGCAGTCAGTGGGCTGCTACGCCCCAGCAGCAGTCGGCCTAGGTGTGTGGGCTGCCCCATCCAGGGTGTGGCGTGCCTGCTGACGTTACACAGCAGTGACGGCACCTAATGGTCCTTGAGAACATCCCGCCACTGATGCGTGACTGAATATAGTGGTTATAACCCCCCCACCCCCAAGTCTCTCCTCATCCCCCAGTTCTCTCCCTCTGGAAGAGGAACCTACACACAGTGCCAGAGTGTCACTTACTACACAACGGTGTGGCCTGTAAGGGGGTGCTTAGAGATTTTGATGGAAATTCCCAGTGTCAAACGTTTTTATGAAAGAGAGACTGAAGTTGGTAGAATGAACATAGTTATTGTTTGTTATTACTGTTTTTATTATTTAGCTTTGTATCTTTAAATAGTTTCTGATTTGGGACAGCCCCTTCCCAGGCCCCTTAGGCGATCTAATGAGCTCCAATTTCTCATTTTCAGAAATAGGAACTAAATTTTTTTAGTTTCTTTTTTTTTTTTTTTTTTTTTAAGTTTTTATTGTTCATATTATTACAAATGTTCCCCCCCCCCCCATTGCTCTCCTCCACCAGGTTCCCACCCCACCCTCTGCCTTTCCCCACTTCCCATTGCACTCATCCATAGGTGCACAGTTTATGTTCAGTCTCTTCCCACATCCCCCTCTCCCCTTTTCTCCAAGAATCGTCGGTTCACTCCCCTTCCATACCTCTGAGTCTATTATATTCAATAGTTAATATTGTTCATCAGATTTTTTTTTTAAATTTCCTTGGTTTTTAGATTCACTTGTTGATAGTTACGTATTTGTTGTTCATAATTTTTATCTTTATTTACTTTCTCTTCTGAAAGAACCCCCTTCAGCAATTCATATAATTCTGGTTTGGTGGTGATGAACTCCTTTAGCTTTTTTTTATTAGTGAAGCTCTTTATCTGACCTTCGATTTTGAGTGATAGCTTTGCTGGATAGATTATCTTTGGCTGTAGGTTCTTACTATTCATCACCTTGAATATTTCTTGCCATTCTCGTCTAGCCTGCATGGTTTCTGTTGAGAAGTCAGCTGACGTATAGGTGCTCCTTTATAGGTAACTTCCGGGCTCATTGGGAGAGAGCATAGACTATTTGGCAGCAGGCGAAAATCGAGGGCACGTTTCTCTCAGAGGTGCTTTGCAGCGAGTACTTAAGGACCCGCATAGGGCTGACGCTCTATCCACTGAGCCAAACCAGTTTCGGCATTACTCTGTCCTTAAAAAAAAAAAAAAAATGTTTTATTGCCAAAACTGGTTTGGCTCAGCGGATAGAGCATCAGATTTGGACTGGAGGGTCACAGGTTCAATTCCGGTCAAGGGCATGTACCTTGGTTGTGGGCACATTCCTAGTGGGGGGTGTGCTGGAGGCAGCCGATTGATGTTTCTCTCTCATCAATGTTTCTAGCTCTCTGTCCCTCTTCCTTCCTCTCTATAAAAAAATCAATAAAATACATTTTAAAAATACATGTTTTATTGATGTCAGAGAGGAAGTGTGAGGGAGAGAGAAACATCAGTGATGAGAGAAAATCATGGATTGGCTGCCTCCAGCACGCCCCTCACTGGGGTTGGAGCCTGAAACCCGGGCATGTGCCCTTGGCCGAAATCGAACCCGGGACCTTTCAGTCTGCAGGCCGATGCTCTATCCATTGAGCCACACCAGCCAGGGCTATCACACAGTTCTTGATGGTAACTCTTGGAGCATAGTGTATTTAATTTTTGTGTTTGGCATTTTAGTTGCAGAAGAATGGTCTGAGGAAAAACGGTATTTTGAAAAACGGCCTGATCTGTGACTTCAAGTTCGGACCCTGGAAAAGCAGCACTTTCCACCCCACGATCGAGAACGACGACACGGAGACGAGCAGCAGCGACACGTCCGACGACGATGACGTGTGAGGCCCGGCCTCCGAGCCCCGTGTGGCCGCCGCCTCCCCCGCCGGGAGCCGGCGAACTGTAACTTACGTAGACCCGCCGGGAGGAGCCGCGGGGACTTCAGTGTGAAGAGAACCCACCGTGGTGTTGGGCCGCGAACATTCTTTCTTTGTACATGGATGTTGTAGAGATGAGGACTGTGGTGGACGGCGTGGACTCAGCACCACAGCGTTTCTCTGACTAGCAATGTGACGATGTAACAGATGAGATGTTCTCATTTAATAATAAAAAATTGTGTAATGTTTTGCAAAGCTTCTGTCTTAAAATGTCCGGGTCTAAGAGAAAAGGCAGCTTCCACTGTTCGTTTGCAGAGCCTCTTCGTCCAGTGGGCATCCTCCGCCCATTTGTGCCCGCCCAGAGACACGAGCATGTCGGACCCGGAGCAGTGCACTGAGACTGAGCTCCGGCCGCTTCCTCCCTCCACGCATTCGCTGCTCTAGCCGTCGTAGCTCCGTACCTGTTACAGCACAGACTCCACCTCCTCCCGAGTTTAAGACGTGGCTTTCCAGAGCTTTATTGGGGATGTTGTGAGACAGGGTTTCCAGGGTTGATGGGAGCGTTATTGTGGGAAAGCTTATTTTGATAAATTATTACATGAGCAGAAAAGCTGATCACACTGGCTGGACCTGTCCCAACATGGAAATAAACTGGATTTTCAGAACCTCGTGCTCTGTGGTGTTCGGGGTGGTCTCCACGCTCTGCTCCTGCCGGGCGGGCGCGGCCGTCTCCCGCTCAGGAACGGGGGCTGGCAACGGCCTCGTTCTCCGCGGCTTCTCGCGCCCAATGGCCGTGCACCACGTTCCAGCGCACGTCCGTTTTAGTCGTTTCTGTTTCTCTTCCTCTGCTGCGGGGAGAGGAGGTTGTAGTTGTTTTTCTCTTCTGTGCCGTGTTCCTGTGTCTGCCTTCCTCCCGCACTGAACTCAAGTATGTTCCACAGCAAGAATGTCCCAGGTCTCAGGCTGAGCTCCTCCTCCGTCTTTCCTTTTTCTAATTGTGTTTTCAGAAGACTTCTGTGTTTTTGCTGTTTCCACCTCAATATTCTGCCTAGATAACCACTCCCTGTGTCTGACATGGATGTTCCCTTTCCTCTCTCAGTCTACCAGGAGGCAGGTCTGTTCCTGGGGGTGGTGGTGAGGCTGTTAGAGCCACACAGCACGGTTCCGTCCCACAGAACCTGGTGGGGAGTTACAAAGTGCGTGTCATTGAGGCTCTCCTCTTGGAATTTGTCACCGGCCATGCAGTCCACCCCGCGTGCGTGCTGGCCTCGTGGAGCCCATGCTGCTGTGCTCCCGCCTCAGCCTCAGCCTGCCCCGCGTGTCTGCTCGGCCCGCACTGCTGGGCCAGTGAAACCTGCCAGGGCACAGGTGTCTGTCAGCACGAAAGGCTCGGAGAACTGTGGCTTCCATGTAAACGCACCGGCTGTGCTTCCAGACAGCTTCCAGAGGAGAGCTGCCGTGCTCCGTTCCGGCGTCCTGGCTTCACTCTGGGTTCTGTGCCCTCGTCCCCTCAGCAGCTCGTCGGGTGCCGGGCGGTGCCAGGCTGTGATTGGGCTCACAGGTGCGGTGGCGGCAGCACAGCGCCCGGTCCTTGCCTTGAAAGGACCACGCTGGGCTCCGTTCTCGTGGGCGAGAGGGCAGGCTGTCTGCCGTAGAGCCACGCTCTGACTCGCCACCTCGGGAGCGGGCGGCGGCTGCACCGGGCTCGGAGAGAGGGTGCCCACAAGCCCGGGAACCAGCTGAGCTGTGATCTCTCCTGGAAATGCTGACCTCGGCCACGGAGGCCTGACGCACCATCTACTTTACATTTGTTTTTGTGTGGCAGGTTTTCCTTAAACACAAACCACCATTGCGGCATAAGTGGACACAAAATACACACTGAAGGCATGTCGTTTGGCAGGTGTTGACCTGTGAAACATCATGACCGTCGGGGAGTGAATGTGTCTCGCCCCAAAAAGGTGTCTGGCCGCCCCCCCCCACCCCCCGCCTTTACCATCCCTCCCCTCCCCCAGCGGTTTTTGGGGGGGTTTGGAATGTGTGAGCAAAACTTCCTGTAATGGGTTTAACGTAGCATTTCAAAAAGTATATTTTATGTTTTGTGTTAGTGGGATAATTTTTATTTTCATATACATTAAGAGTTGAAGCAAATACTGAAGTGTAACAATGGTCCGGTTGGCCTGATGACATCAGACTTTGAACAGAGTTCGGGCTGGAGGGCACGTGGAGGAGCTGGGGAGTGTTTGTGGTGTTGGTCTCAGAGCACACACGTGTAAAGGGCCGCGGGCGTGTCCTGACCCCCCTGCTCTGCCCTCGGCTCCTCCACGCAGTGAAGGTGAGCCTCACAGCGGCTCCTCCATCTCCAGCCTCTGCTCCCAGGCTCCATGAGGCGCTTTACCGGCGCGCTGGCGGCAGGGTTCCCCCGGCTTAGAAAGGCGCACACGTGCTCCGCTGGCGTGCCCGGTGCTGGTGCGTGGGCTGCACACGGGAGGGTCCCGGGTGTGATTCCGTCCGGGGCACAGGCCCTCGCTGCCGGCTCGATCCCAGGAGAGGGCGTGCAGGAGGCAGCCCGGGCTCCCCTCCCCGTGTCCCCCCTTTCCCTGCAGCTCCTGCCGGGCGCAGGTGCTGATTGACCGGGAGGCCACGGAGTCTGCGCCATGGAGGCAGACCCAGCGCAGCCAGGAAAGCCAACGCCGAGGACGCCCGGCTGCAGGCTGCCCCTGGGCTGGCCCAGCACCATCCCCATGTCCCGTCCGCGCCCGTCCCAGAGCACGGCCACGCCCGGCCTGGTGGCCACGGGAGGGGCCGCCTGCCACGGTCAGGAGGGTGGTCTCGGTGCCTGGCTCCGGCCGGGGCCGGGGAAAGGCCCTGATGGACCTCACTCCTGGATTCCTGAGGTCAGGTGGGAGCCGCCGCCAGGCTCGTGTTCTAGAGACACAGATGTGACGGGACTCGTGGGAGAAACGGACCGGATGGGGCCGCCAGGGAGGGTGGGCATCCCCTCCATCTCCCCACCCCTCTGCCAGGAGACCTGACTTCCGAGTCCCCACCCGATTCTCACAGTTGCCCGTGCTCAGGGCTCTCACCCTGGCGGGCAGGGCCCGGGCCTGACTCTGAACTCTGCTCCCGGAATCTCGGTTGCTCGGTGGGGGATCCCCGGTCCCACGGGCTGGGAGCTCCGGTCTGGTCCTCGGGCTCCCGCCTCCTGGTGAGAGCGAGCTTGGCCCAGGCACCTGTCCATGTGTTTGGAGACCAGGGCCTGTCACCAGCTCAGCCTGACCCCTCCGGGGCCGCAGCCCCAGCCTCAGCCTCAGCCTCAGCCAGGGCTCCTCCTCTGGGTGTGGAGAAGGAAACCCCAGTAAGGGGTTCGCCCGACTGTTTTCATAAAGAGAATGAACACCAGGGGGCAGCAAACCCCCACCCAAAGGCCTGCAGGCGCTTCCCTCTGTTCAGCAGGACCTGGGTCTCCCGCCCGGGAAGCCATAGGCAGGCCTCCTCCCCGCACCCCCCACCCGGACCCTGAGCCGACCGAGCCCTGGTCTTCCCCCGAGGAGTGAGTGAGGAGGTGGATTCCTGCGTCTTTTCTGAGATCTGGCTTTTATTTATTTTATTTGTTGTTCTCTCTCCCCTGCCGGTTTTCTCCATCGATGTTGAGAGAGTGGGGAAAGGAGGGGGACCGAGAAACGTCCATGTGAGAGAGACATCGATTGGCTGCCTCCTGCCTGTGCCCTGATTGGGGCCGGCACAGCTGCAACCAAGGTACATGCCCTTGACCGGAATCGAACCCGGGACCTTTCAGTCTGAGGGCCGATGCTCTATCCATTGAGCCACAGGGGCCAGGGCGGGTGCTGCTCCTGAGGCTGAGGGGCCCTCCCAGGGGACAGGACCGGAGGCGGAGCCAGGCCCGTGTTCTCTGCGATCAGGGTGACGTCTCACTAGAACCTTCCAAGGCCGTCACGCCGGCCAGCGGGCTGCGTCCGTCCTTGTGCAAGTGGTGGGTCCTGGGGTCCCCGGAGGGTGACATGCCGTGGGAGAAGGGTTGCAGGGCTGCTCTCCCGTGACCCTGTGACCTCGAGCGGTCACATGACCTCTACCTCCTCCTTTGTAACACGGGAGTTCCCTGGAGATGCACTGACTCTGACCCCAGGTCCCCGGCCCGTCCGGCTGGGGCCCCTGGCATGTGTGTGTGTGTGTGTGTGATGGTGTGTGTGTGATGGTGTGTGATGGTGTGTGTGTGTGTGAGTGTGTGTGTGATGGTGTGTGTGTGTGTGTGTGTGTGATGGTGTGTGTGTTTGTGATGGTGTGTGTGTGTGTGAGTGTGTGTGATGGTGTGTGTGTGTGTGTGTGTGTGTGTGTATGTGTGTGCTGGTGCCCTCGGGGCTGAGGGTGAGGATGTGGAGCTATAACCGCAGCCCTAACCATGACCCGGTTCCACTGACCGGGCGCGGGCGGGCAGGCTGTCCTGGGCCGGTGCCTGGCGGTTTCCCTGCACCTGGTCTCACTTTCACTTCCAGGAACACAGCAACGGAGCCTCAGCCAGCTCCCGACCCCGTGTCACCCCGAGTCCCTCGGATTCGGCCCAGCGAACCCGGCCCAGGTGCCTGGGCCCCTGCGGCTGCTGGTCCTCCCTGCAGCTGTGGCTGGTGAGCTGGGCTCCTAGCAAACGGGAGTCCATGGGGTGCTGGCTTCAGCGTGTCCTGATCCCCCTCGCCCTCCCTGGACAGGGCACCCCCTCAGCTGGGGTCGCCCTCACCCCTGAGCTGGGGTCGCCCTCACCCCTGAGCTGGGGTCGCCCTCACCTCTGAGCTGGGGGTCGGCTCCTCACCCCTGAGCTGGGGTCGCCCTCACCCCTGAGCAGGGCCAGCTCAGTAACCTTCCATCCTGGCACTTGGAGAAGGAACATTCACTGTGAAAAGTGACATCACTAAGTGTCAGCCGGGAGTCGTGTGAGCCTGTGTCCAGGGCTCTGTC